GTAGCATCACTCATTATGGGTCTTGACACCAAGAGGAATCAGGATAGAGCGCCGTAAAAAGGAGAACAGGACAAAGACTACTGGTCAGCCTATGTCCCAAACACTTCCACGAGTATGGCGATTAGTTACGAACTTTTTGAGATATGCAAGCATCGGGCATATTTAAACAATATGTCAAAATTTAGCACTGTGAAATTTGAGTCACAAATTATATATATTAGATGACATTTGCAAGTGCAGCAGATGAAGATGCAAAGGGTAGATTCAGTCAAGGAGGCTACATTCAACGTTCCATAGCAAAAATTTACATAAACACATGCAACACCATTGATTCAGTCTGGCATGAGGTGTAAGATGTATTAATTCTGATATTGAATATAGGCCTCCTTGACGAATTTACCCTTTGCATCTTCATCTGCTGCACTTGCAAATGTCATCTAATATATATAATTTGTGACTCAAATTTCACAGTGCTAAATTTTGACATATTGTTTAAATATGCACGATGCTTGCATATCTCAAAAAGTTCGTAACTAATCTGTGATCACTGAATATCCTATTGCATTTTCACAATCTGAGATACAAAATGACACTGTTGCAAATATCACTTACAAAGGCAAAAGACTAACTCAGCATATGCCATAGTTGCAAATGCCATCATGTCTGCGGTGTCTGCAATGAAGGCAAGTTTACTATCAGAATTTGTGTCAGTTTGACAATAAGAACCCACTACTGGAATTACCAGTTTGAAAGATTTGGCAGCTGACTAAGCTTATTAAGCGCTTATATAAGGGTGTCGGTTCTTGACGTCGTCTATCTTACAGTGTCTGTCGCTCAAAACTGATGCCTCGGGCATGCCAAAGCTGCGAGACCTATCAGCGATTTGGAAGTTTGTCTAGAAATCTTGAAAATGTTACCAATCAACTCAGATTGAGTAGAGCTTTCGATCTATCTCATTTGTTTTTTTAAATTCTCAGTTTCAAAAATTTACCCACTGTAAAATGTGAATTTGAGTCGGAGCATGTCGGAGTTTCCTTATTTGGAAAGCGACATCACGGCTCAAGGCGCCTATCAGCCACAGTCATTTCCTGCGAACGGACAGTTTCTTGTGGTAGATACATGAATATATCTAGTTCACTAATAGGCCGACCTGCATCATGAGTGATGACCCACAGCGACGGTGTGATCTATATTTCTTGACTGCAAATTCTGCCTGCTTGGCATTCAGCCCCTTTCTGGTGAGAGAATTAGTCCCAAAAATACAGGATACAAGGGTATATATTCACCGGTATGCATCCATATAGTGCCATGCCTTGCGGAAGAATGCTCTGATTGTCTTGACAGAGCATGCGTCAAGAATCTGGGGCACCAGACGCTTTGCAGTTGGAAATGTTTCATCGGCAGCTGCTCGGAAACCTAGGTGATCATATTGAGATATTAATGCAATTCGTAGAAGAAACACTTACGCGCTTTCATTCAGCCCCAATACATCTCAATTGGATTCAACTCACAGTGGAATTTTGGTAAGAAAAGACATTGATGGCCGGCCTCCCCAATCACAGTCTGTAGAAGTGGCTTCTCATCGAGAAAGTCTTATTGCATTGACAAGGCCTTTCGCATACAGCAACCTATTGAAGCTGATGAGTATGCAACCGTGTCTTCCTGCATCTCATCTGGCTCCTGTGTGCCATCTGCAGCAGCCTGAGCTTCATGAAGCAGCCGCTCTTGTGCTTCCCGTAAGAGTTTGCACACCTGACATTCACCGACGAGCTTCTCACCATTCGCAGCCTTCAGCATCGGGACAAGGCCTCGCTCCTCCAAAATGCGCAGCATCCCTTTTGGCTGTCCATGATATTGGTAATCTGGATGCTCCAGAGGAAGGTCAGCTGGAAAGACCATAGATTGTCGTTGACCACAGAAATGGGGATGCGGGTTGTCAAGAGGTATGATTGTGTCATGCATGTGTCGTTGCTTACCCCTGGGATTGACATTCATCTCCTTCGCATTCAATGCATCCTTGGCAAATGCTCCATGTGCAGATGACTGATCAAAGTTGAACTGAAGGACTGCTCTAGGATATAGCCTCTCGCCAATTGGTATGGCTTGCATTTTCACCTATCGATATATTTCTGTCAATACACATTCATCATTTTACAGTGCACGTACTTGATTTATCAATCATTCCAAGTTCCACCAGCCATCATGATTCTTCCCCGGATACATTATCTCACGAGCATCCGTGTGAGCAAGTCTTTGGTTCAAGGGCAATGCAGCATTCTCGTGGATTTGTGTCTCATCAAGTGCAAGATGACCAGTGTGCTCAACTATAAAATCTGACACGTGAATTGCGCGGCCTTGTCCTTTCTTTCTTAAAGGCATCTTGCCATCCTTGATCCATATCCGGTGGCATAGGTCGTTTGTGTACACAATCATTTCATCATGGAAGATAGGGACAATACGCCTTTCGCCCTTTGCTAATGTAGGCTCCACTGGCTCTAGATCTTGATCTGTATAGGTCCAACGCAACCTAATGCAACAAGATGTGTCAGGACAGCACATATGCGAATGGTGAGCATGATTGCCTCTCCGTCTCCTGCAAACTGTCCAAATACTTCTGTCGATATGCTAACACATCCTCTCGCTTATGGCCGTCACCATAGAGTCCTTTCTTTGTCTCCTTCAGTTCATACTCAAGCTTCACAAGCCATCTTCGTGCAGATGACTCGGATATCGTCTTGCCGCCTAGGTCCAAACCTAGCGCTGGAATGATAACTGTGTTGACCTGCTTCATTAGGAGATACGGTGTAATCTATAACCAGGTTAGCCATGCTTTTGTCAGTTCTGCAAATACAAATCTTACCTCACCATCTGCGAGAACAGTGAGGTAATGACGGACAGCCTGTGCCATCCTCTCATTGTTGAGTAGTGTAGGGTGAGCATGGTGCTTTCCCGCAGTTATGGGCGGCAGTGTGTGAAAACGTTTGATATAGCAGTATAATGACCGTATCTTGCGGGCGAAATAAGGACCCTTGCTGACTGCTCGAGCAACGGCGATACTTGCCCTTGTTGATGGGTTCTTCACTCGAGTTGCGGCCTTGTATTTGTGATAGAGCTCAATATACTGCTTGATGGCACACAGGTGGGTGAGAGACGTGTAAGATCCAGATTTCTTCACCTCGTTAACAAGCATTTTGACTATCTCCATGATAGGCACGTCCTCCGGCACATCCTCCTCATCTGCTGTTGGGTCTAGGAACACTGTGGGGCTGACAACTGCTGGGGCTTTAGGAGAGACTTGGGACTCTTTATTGTTGATGCTCTCCATAACTCGTTGGGTTGCATCGCTGGCGGCAGGCACAGGAGATGTCAGAATTGCATTATGGCTAAGCTCCGGACTGGGTGCTCGGGCCTGACGATATGCAGGCTGAAAAAAGGTATTGATTTTGCTACATCCCACCGACGCTTTCGCCAAGTCTCTCTCCCTGCAGTATGTTCTAGTCTTGCCGGCACCGCTGTAGCTAGGCATAGCTCTTGGAGCGGTCGAATGTTCCGCTACCAATTCATGCTGCTCTAGAATGTAAATTCCACGTTGAGTTCCTTTTTTGCATTGCTCACCTTGCTAAATACTTGCGTCCAGAATTTCCGCGCAGCTTGGTTTGCTTCTTCTGCGCATTCTCCGACATAATCATTCTCCTCTTCATCGCCTTCCGAGCTCCCTCTTGTGCGCTTTTTGGAGACCAAATCTGCTGCCTCGACATCCATATCACTTTCACTTTCCGAGACATCTATTGGTTCTTCATCGAGCATACTAAATGCCCATTGACCCTCGCCATCACTGTCGGAGGAATCCCAGTCGTCTTTGGTTAGAATGCAGTTAGGGTTGGCTTGGAGTTCAAGTAGACTTTCTACAATATGCGAATCAAAGTGTCTGCCTCTACTAGCACGCTGCAGCTTTGCCTGCTTTTGCTTTTTCTTTAGAGGAGCCATTGTATTGTGGAAATCACACTTCGAAAATTTCTCCCCCAAAAAGTGAACGATTACGTAATCACCGAAGGATTCGGTAATTGCAGATTTATGCATATCTTGGCCATGTTTCCTCTCAAAACTTTTTTCTGCCGGCCTGCGGCGCTCTAATTAAGGCTACACAGAGGCGCCGAACCTTAGTGACATGCACTGTACTCTTAACGCAGGCCCCGCGCCAAGGCTGCTTGTTCAGAACTGTCACCATGCCCTGGCCTTCGAAAATAACCAGAGCATTTGCCACCGTCGAAGAAGAGGCCGGTGTCATCGTTTATGAGAATCAGTACTATGGCCCCTACAACAAACTTCTCTGTACTCTATTCCCTCCGGACAGTGATTTCATTGTCTCGCCCAATTACCTACCGGGCAACGTGGACGGCGCCGCAGGCGTCATCATCTCGTTCGAAATCACCCTTCGTCAGCACCCCGTGCTCGTCCTAGAGGTCAAGCCTCCCCAGCACTTGTCGCTTGATTCGACGCGGGAGGCAGCCGACAGGCAGGTTCGCCGCCGTTTGGTCGATTTGTCAGGTGTGTGGCGTCAGTGCAGATTTTGCTCTCATGACCTTACCGCCGGTTTCCTTCCTTCAGGGCGTGCGCTCCTCCCTGTCCTCTACGGCATCAGCGCGATGGGGACCAAGCTCTGCTTCTACGAGTTCGAAACGGCGCCGAGGCGCATGACTCCCCGACGCATCCCCAGCGATCCCGAGCTCACAACCGACGTTGCGCCGAAGGAGCAGTGGGACTGTGATGTCCTTGAAGCTGACGGAGAGCAGCGGCTGCGAGCATTGGCGAGGCAGATCACGGAGGCATGTGAGCGCCTACAAGCTTGATGATGATGATGACTTCGGCATAAGCTTGATGATGTTTGTACACTAATATGTAGCACATGGCTGTATCAGTTTTCTCCCATCTTGTGCTCGCCATCCATAGACATTCACGAAGATCCCACCGAACAGCCCACCGACAGCGCTGAAACTTGCCAGCAGCCGCTCGCAAATGCTGGTCGACGTTACCGAATTGCAATCCGCGGACACTCACAGCGAGCCGCAACCTTGACGGTCGTTAAATGTATAACATAAATGTAGGCAGGGCTTACTGCCGCAGTGACGGCTAACCTTGCACCATGACACGGCAATGATTTCGGGATGCAACGCACCTAATGACATCGAACAAGGAGAATCGCATGACGAAACGTTGTGGACACTTCTCCTTCCCGGCGGGCGCAGGTGGAGAGGCTAAGCGTATGTGCATGGGCACTAACTCTGTATGCCTCCAGTCAGTATGCTTATTTAGCACGCTCCAGTGGTGAGCAATGTGGAGACGTGCTGCGATGATTTGCCTAAGATGAATCCAATTCGCCGCCCATCCGCTTCGAAAAGCTCGCAGGAATGAGACTGACTTTACACGTAAATTGCCGCACTGTCCGTACTCACTACAGCACGGCTCGTTGCCAGGTATCTGTACAGAGTCCCAATCCAGCCCACCCTCATGTACGCTGATCCGCTTCGCGCTTTTCGACTGTCGCTCATCGCTCAGATAAACTGTCCAGATAGCATTGTAATGGCCGTAGTTCCTCCCGTAGCCGCTAACTGTTTCACGCAGTGCTATCTGCGCTCGTAGTTGCTAGTGTCATGTTCAGCTCAGGTTCGTTGATTTCAGACACGCTTGAGATGCGTCTGGAAGTTAGTCTACCTAACGCCACAATCCTTTCTTTTTCAAACGGCGGTACGATATATCAAACACACCTGAGAGCTCATTCGAGTAACTGTGCAGGTCGTCCGCCGGCAGGCTCCCCGGATGCTTCATAATGCGAAGAAACAGACAAATTCCTCGAGAGCGAGAGCCGTGACAGACACCCGTGACAGATATGTGACATTGTTCGTGACTCAAGGCATACCATCGCGCCACCGACGTGGTTTGCGTTCGCCTTCGTACAGACATCTACTAACAGTTCTCAATCAGACTTGTTACATTTTCTATCGAATCCGGTCGCCTCGCACAGATCGCATATGTGGACTGGGCTACAGAATACATACTTGATGCAGCGCTTTTTTCTGATAGATCTGATCAGGATATTCGTACTCTAACCCTGGGGTCTCGGGAACGCAGCATATTTTATTGAACGCATGCCTCGACAGTTCTACGTCTCTGTTCTTACGCAGCTATGCCCACCAAGACCAGCTTCCCCAGGCCCAATGGCGTCCCAAAGACATATGGAGAGGGAGTTCCGATCCCACTTCTTCTACCTATCGCAGAGCCTCCTCCCGATGCGCATTTTCCAGCCCGCAAGCTCCCTGAGCCGACAATTGTGGCGGGCTTCCGGAGGACGTCGCATGTAATACCTGCAGCTTACCTGCGTTCGCTGCCGAACGAGTCGCCTCTCAGAGACCGCGCCACGAGCGGTGAACCGTTTGACGTGAAGGCGATGGCTCGGAAGCTCGTGGAGGCGAGGCTCGAGTTCGAAAGCGAAGATATGCAGAAGAAATTCAAGGGAGCGTCGAGGGTTGTAATGTGGAATTGTGTGGATCGATTCGTCCCTGTCACTCCTGTGTCGGGTGGGCGTGGGCGTGGCCTTACTCTCTTCTTGACGCACGCGACCGGGTCTCCGCGGCAGGTGGGTGTATATGGCGTTGAGTCACCAATATGAGTCTGATTCCAGCTCGACGCAGATTTGGGAACCAGCAATCGCACATTTGATCACGAATGCGAGAGCATCTTCGATCGCGATCGAGGAGATATGGTCATTCGAGTCCGTGCAGCATGGCGACAGCGCCTTGCTCAACGAGCAGGGGCTCCGCGACGTATGTAAGTGGACACCATCATCAGAGAGCGAGCTGTGTACAGAGTGATTCCCATCAGTTGACTGGCAGGATCAATGCCGCGATATCCTCAACTTCCTGATCCATTATCTACCCGCGCAGGCAACTTCGATGCCATTGCCTACGCACCTCGAGCGCATCGCCGTATCAAGTCGTGGTCAGCTCCGCCGTGTTATTGGTATTGGGCATTCATACGGAGGAACGACTCTGTGCGTCGCGTTCATACAGTTGACATAGAAGATTACGTCGTGACTGCATTTCTCAGGGCACGAGTAGCTATTGCCAACCCGGCTCTCTTCGACAAGCTCATCCTAATCGAGCCGATGATCGTCCCGCCGTCTTTCACCAGGGGCAAGGGTTTGGATTTGTTGCTGAAGGCGGCCCTCAGCAAACCTGAGAAATGGCCTTCAAGGTAAATCCAAATAACCTATCTCGTGTGTCTGGCCGTGATAAAATTGCCTAGGAAGCACGTCAAGGAGAGTCTCCTCAGGAGTCCAGCAATGAAGACCTGGGATCCAGAGGTAGTCGACGTCTTCGCCGAACATGGTGTCGTCGAGTGCGATAAACCCAACTCGTCCCGCCCGGGGCAAACATCCGATGGCGAACGTGCAGTACGCCTAAAGACGCGCCCGTTCGACGAGGCTGTTGTTTACTGCGAATGGAACGTGTGCTACGAGGCATGGACGGGACTCAAGGACCTTGACCCCCGGATCCATCTGCACTGGATTATGAGTGCTCGGACAAACGCTACGTGAGTCTCACAGTTTGCTGGCGAGAGGCGGCAGTTGATGGTATGTGACCGCAGTACTGGTGGTGAGGACGTCACGCGGGAAACTGTCTGGAGACGCGTGAGGAATACTACGAACGTCCGTCTGCCCGAGGTCGGGCATCTGGTGAGCTGCTACCTACGCGTTGATCAGTCGAATTGACCTCGTGTTGTGTGCAGGCAGTGCAGGAAGCACCGAAGGCTGTTGGTAAGTGCCACGTCTCGCGCGTGATCGCTGTTGGCTGATGCTGTCGACATTGGCGTTCGTCCAGCCACTGCCATCTTGGACGCACTAGTACGGAAGGAGACCAAACACACGCTCTGAAATGGAGCTGCTGAGTACAACACTCAAACATTTTTCTCACGTAAAGCACCATCGCAGTCTACGAAAGCAAGTGATCACAGTTCTTTCAGTGACTGAGTAAGCCGCAACCAAGCGCCTCTACATCCAATGTTGCTCTTGTTGCCAGCTGCCCCTGTGAAGATTCTCATGTCTTGGTAATTCGCGTGCGCTATCCGGCTGTTCATCGTACGTGACGTTCTCTTCGTTGATATTCCCTGGAGGCGTTTGAGAGAATATGCTCCATCTCTGTCGATTTGAGGGATGGTGGGCAAGATCTGCGTGCCTCGCCTTTGCGGATCCACAAGTAAGTTACCGACTAGTGCGTGCTTCGCTTATATGCTGCTGAACAGGCGCTCTGCCCAGTCTATCTTGACATGCCATTCCGTGAAACTGTTGGGAACAACATGTGTTATGATCAGTCTATCGCTGGAGAAGGCAGCGTCGCACGCGGGGCAGGAAGACGCGGCAGCTTATACCTCGTGATGTGAAGTGCGAAGTTCATCGCAAATTGAGCACCTGCGAAGCGTTCCGATATGATAATGTTGTGAAATTGGAAGCCAACGGCTTCCACTGAGTATAGGTAGCAAGAGATGGCATCAAGAGGTGCTGCAAAAAGCGCCGAATCCAGGGCGAAGGTGCGTACGATATGCGACGAATATTTCGGGTACGCTGTCAGATAGTTTCCGGATAGACGCAGAACGAACGTCAAGCGAATGAAACTTCATCAGTCATGGAAGTATGAGTGCGGCAGATTCTTTGCGCTTGCACGTCCTTATAAATTACGTGTCTAGCTTCACCCTTCGCTGGTTCTGATTGGCAAGCAACAGGAGTCAGATCCGACAGATACGTCAGGGCTGATAGGTGGTCCTCCAACATGTGTTGGTCGTCCATCTAATTTTCTCCACGGACCCATAGAACGTGCAGCCGTCTGAGGCCTAGACTTCGGATTGTTGTCCGCCAAACCCGTATCCCTCCAAAAGTGGGCATATCGAGGAGCATAGAAGTCTCCTTGATGCTGTCTGATCTGATACGCTGCCTAGCGATGACCCAATTCCGGGCCAGCGCACACACTAAGCTAAGTAGTGATCATGATTCTTAAATAATTTGTTAATCATCACAACACGATCGAAGTATTTTCTGACAATTCAAACATCGCCTCTCCAATCATGTATAATTCCGCGCCTTCATATGAATGGTCGGTATCATGGGTGAACTCACATCTGTGGTGCAGGAATAGGTTGTAACCCCATAATTCTCTCGCCATCGTGAAGATCAAACAGTATAGCACTCTCAATGCAGACCGGTAGCGAAAGCGTGGGTTTCTGTGTGTTGCCCGTCAAGCCCGGGCCCTAGCACGCCTGAACAGCGCACGAAGAACTCCGCGCAAGAGTCTGCCGATTCGTTCTGATTTAATGGCCCATTTTCCATGACCATCGAATGCACGTGTTCGTGCTTACGGCCTTCTATCTCAGAATCGAAGCGTTGCATGGGGTGCAGGGCGGTGATGGGAACCACTCTGATCACAACTTCCATTCCCTGGATCATGATGGGAAAATAGAGAACTTTTGTTATATGCAGCTGAAGCAATAGTACTACATGCACCGTTTTTCTGTCGCCATCCGCCATCATCTCATTTTGGTGTGTTTACAGGATGTTCGCTTTTCGTCACGAGCCCCTTAAGTCCCTATACAAACTGTACGCTTACGTCGCCACAATATGCGTACGCCTTCCCTACGCCAACATCACGTCCAGAATTCAAGCCCTTCGGCCCAGGCGGACTTGGTCCGCTCGCAGAGCATACATTCTTCCTCTCCTGCGGGCTCGCATCGAGGACTGGTTCGCGACCGGCCTGCCTCTGAGTCCGGGCCATGATCCCGAAGAGATTGTCGCCTCTGGGCAGGCCGACGCTCTTGGTTTTGTGTGGGTGCCGGCCATTGATCCCGGACTCATCGTGGGTGAAGTGAGTGAGATGGCGGAGCTAAACGGCGTGAAACCGAAGAAGACACACGGATATTGGCTCAAGTCGCAGAAGGTCACGGGAAAGGGAGATTACAAGGCGGATGAGGGCGAGAAAGTAGTTATGTATTTCCACGGTATGCATTTTATGTTTGTTCATCCAATGTCGATGTACTTAGCGCGGACGTAGGAGGAGGATATGTGATGAGTTCCTCCCACCCAAACGGAGGCCCGACCGGTCCAATATGCAGCGGTATCTTGGGGAACTGCACGACTGTCACACGAATCTTCTCCTGCGGCTATCGCCTGTCATCGTCATATCCCTACCCTGCTGCGAATCCTTTCCCTGCCGCTCTCCTCGATGCGCTCGCTGGCTATCAGTATTTGCTTCGCACTATCGGTGTGCGAGGAGAGAACATCATCATCCTTGGTGATTCCGCTGGAGGCCACCTTGCCGTCTCGCTCGTCAGATACCTCGCAACGCACAATCTCAACGAGTTACCCACTCCGGGCGCGCTCGTGCTCCTTTCTCCTACTGTGGAATTCGAAATAACACACAAAGGGTCTGGTTCATCTCTCAATCGAAATGCAGCCACGGACTACTGCGGCATTTTCTTCAAGGGATATCCGGGGAAGAGCCTGCTGGGGAATTTTCCCGAGAAGGAAGCATTGACGAATGCATGGATCTCGCCGGCTTCCCTCCAGCTGTCGCGGTTTGAAGGATTGTTCACAGGCTTCCCTTCTACATATATCGTCTGTGGAGAGGCAGAAATCGGGTTGGATGCGATGCGCACATTCCGCGACCGCCTCATTGGCGACATCGGGGAGACCAAGGTGACCTACGATGAGGTGAAAGATGCCACACATGATTTCATAACAATGTCGTGGCACGAGCCCGAGAGGAGCAATATTCTGAAAATCATTGGTGAATGGATCGACGCAAGATGACTCCTCTTTGAACCTACCATGAATGCCATCCTGTTCAGTAACGTTTCCACGTCATGGTGAAGCTTCAATTGTACATACCTTACGGTGTCGCTTTTTGTTATGAGCAAGCATTGCAAAGAACTGGATTTTATGAATAGCCGTATGTTCCGATGCTCGTCTCTCCATTCGATAACGCCCTTTCTCCGAGGTATCTTGTTTTTCTGGTAATAAGGAAAGGATAGGCGTGACTCATGAGTGACGGTGACTCTGGCGTGACAGGATCCGTGGTTTGACGTTGCACTCGAGCTCTCACTTGCTCACTTCTTTGACGGCACATCGGGCTCAGCTCACTTAACACGGCTTGCTGACCATTTATCAACTTATCACGGCTACCTGCAATGTAGCGAGTCCTGACACAAAGCGCAATATGGGAAAAAAGGAATGAAGCGAATATAAATGTCTGTCTGGCCCTTTTATGAGAACTGCACTCGCTTGTCTCCACGCTATCGTGTTGCGGATACTGTTGGATGAAGCTGTTACTGATCTGGAACGTTAACGCTTGGCAGAGCGGACTTCTAAGTTCCAGTATCGTCTGGGAGCGCTCGACAACAAGCTGTTCAAATCAGCTTGCGTTTCCGCACCGCTGCTCGGCCCGTGTATTAATCTTGGCTGCCATGACCGACAAATTCCAAGTCATTTGATTGTCCGAATGTAGGCGTGAACGTTCCATGGGTCATTCAGTTCAGATGGAATCCAACTGCTTGATATCGTTGGAGGTACGAGGTCCTTTTGAGAGCATTGGCATGACATGATTCGTGTCTGCTGACCATCCTCTGATATCTAGACAGGAAGATTTTGATTCGCACCTTTGAGTCCTATTACCTTGGACCCCTTCGTCCAGCCTGTATCAGTGTTCTTTCTGTTAGGACATGTCAAAGGATAACAGCGTCCTCCGATATCCAGAGGAACTTCACGCGGTAATTACTGGCTCGCTTGAATTTGATTTGCTCCAACACGAGGTCGAAGTGGCTTGCAAGCGAAAAGCAGCTCGGCAGCATCACGTTCTCTATTCTCATCGACAATACAATTCTTTCAATGCGGCGCAGGCAGGGATCTGCTCTCTGGCTACGCCTTTCGCCGGGTTACACCCGGATAGCACATCCAGACTCCCGCCGATAAGATGCTATGCGGCCTTCCTGTTCAACTGAAGCACAGAGCTGTGTCTCGGAAGCGCAAGGTTGAGGAACCTGCTCTGAGCATACGCGGACCAAATCCCAGATGCCAAAGCGTCGCAATGGAGGTAATAAGGTGCATCGAATGTCCCAAGAGCGACGGTCCGTTCCTTTCCTGCCATTGTTATGTCACTGTAACACAGTCGTCGCATCATGGGCCTGCCCTATTTCGCCAAGTTGTGGTATTGTGACACGGGAGATATGCGGAGCTCGCCGCTTCGCCTTCCCTTCCTGACGTTGTCCTTCAGTACTTGTGGCCGTCCATTGACTCACTTTCGCATTTCATAAATATCTCGTCTTTGAAATATTTCGTAAAAATTGTTCTCATCCGCGGGCGCAGTGGCGGGAACTGTCGCCTAATCGCTCTAATACGGTCCTTCGACCATCAAGATCCGCGTTCGAAGCGCCAGTGCGACCATTTCACGTCCTCGGATATGGCTCGCCGTCATCAAAGCGAATAAAGGTGCACGTTGAAGCGGGAACGCATTTATTTGATATATCGCAAGAATATATGCCTTGCGACCACCGCGTAAAGGCCCATTGGTGCGTTTGCTTTCATTGGATTCTGATGTGATCTAATTGAGTTGTCATGAGCTCCATCGCTTAGACATGATATCTTTCGTTGGCTTTTAATTGAACACTGGCACGTAATCATACAGATCATTGCGTCCTAAGGCTGACTTCCTTGTTGACAAACTACCGTTGGTGCCTTTCGGAAGACATTGGATTGACAAAACCTCGTCGCTGAGAGCAAATGTTACTCAGCACGAAGCATATGTGACGTTATCACCCCACCTGATTATTTGTTAATATGACTGAACGACGCATGCGCAGGATGTTTTGACATTGCGCAAGCACTCAGATCCTGTATGGATGGTCCGCGGATTTCTTCTGGTGAGCAAAGATGGTGGTTCTGCGTTCTGCCGAGGTTGAAAGATTGAATGTCCTGAACGGCATCTCCCTGTCGGAATAAGCTGCAACGGCCTCACTGCACCACCTTCCCATGAATGGCATTATCTGAGGCTCCTGCAACCTTCCTAGTCACTTTGAACATAGTTTAATAATGACAAAGAAGAAATGCTTGGTTCTCTACATATAGCATCGTTCACAGGCATATTTATCCGACAGGAGATAGAGCGGATATTAATTTGTACATTTGCAGCAAGACCTTGTTGAAATCCTCTCGCTGACATCACCGCCGTCGGAGTTCTTGCCACGCATCTCGAAGACATCGATTGATCAGGCACACATCCTCACCGCACCATTTAAAACTCACGCCATTTAAATATGAGCAGGAAGACTCACCCAAATTCTGGCTTCTTGCATTCCTCGTAGGCGCAATGGCAGCGGAACTCCCTAGCTACTCCAACCCCGACTGTAACGCAGTCGCTATCCTCGGTCCGTCTTGCAACGCCCCCATGTACATTTCGTCTTCAGCTAACACGTCTGTCATTGAAGGCTTCTCTACCTCTGCATCAGGTGATGAGGCACGTGTTTTGGATGTCGAAGCGCTCTGTGAGTGCCCCAAGAGCGCCAGCATCGGTACTGTGCCTTATAATCACTGTGAATCCGAACCGCATCGTGGTACAGCCTCTGAGAAGAATTACGCTGTATATCTTTGCTTTCCGTGCACTGAGGTTAATGGAACTAACAGACCGAGTGTAGGCAGAGGCCGGATCCGTCTCCGGCTTCTCCTCTGACGATCTCCACGAGTTGGATATCACTCCCGTCGACTATGATGACGCTGCCAAAGTCATGGAAATCATCGTGTGAGGAGACAATCTTTCATTGCACCATCAAATAGCATACTGACGCTCTCATCTTAGACTTTATCATGTGTTCAATGCCGTGCAGCGAAGCGGTGTTGATTGTCGCGGAACGCACACCGGTGTATACGTAGAATGCAGTGCGTATTGTGCATTCATTCATATATACATCATTCGCATGTACAACTCATAGCTCGAAGAGATGCAATTCCTGATATCGACACTCCTCAAGCTGAAGGTCAGCTGCATCTCATTTGCAGCGATGCGGCTCGCTGAGTCATTTGTGCAGGTTGTTCCATAACGAATGCATGGCTCGCCAATGTCATAAACCGCATTAGATGTGCTTTTGACTTTATGGGGCCATCATTCGCGATTGATCCCGCATGCTCTTCACGCCAAACTGCTCTACAGCTAGCCATTCAAGCTGTCATAGATGGAAATTGCGACCAAGCCGTCGTCGTGAACATCGATTTCGACTTCGAATCTTTTCAGGAGGCCGACAGTTCTACTCACGGCGGAATTGGTACGCATCCCAAATATATGATCCGAATAATTCCCCAAAGACCGACTTCTTGATTATCCGCAGCGAGCGCTGTCGTGATCAAGCGCCATGATCTCGCCGTGAAGGACAGAGACAACATTCTTGCCACCCATCTCGGTATTTCACCAACCTCTTTCGGCTCCGTCAATGATTCGGTCATCACGCCCAGTCCCGAAGCCAAAGCGCAGGAGAGAAATGCAGATGTTAAACGCCATTACGTAGATTTCCTTCCGCCTCGCAGTTTTGGGATCGCCATCAGACACCTTCTTGAGCACGATCAACGCCCCGAGCATCCAGATATACATACATTGAAAGATGGGCCTTTCCTCATCGCCATCGGTATGTATTCATAATGCGCTTTCTAGATCAACAGTTATGAACGTGCTCTCTACAGGTGCTCTCTCGCCCAAAAGTGCGCATGCGTTGGAAAAGAGCTACAAGGATCAGTGTGTAGGGCATTCTCCACTTACGCTATGCGCACATTTTGGAAATCGCGCTCGGCAGATGCCATGGAGAACCTATACAGTTGCCGATTGTCTGCAGAGTGCGACGTTTCCTGACCCAGTGTTGGCAGAGAAGCGGTCCAACCCTCTCGTTTTTTGCTTCTCTGGTCAAGGTCCGCATCATTGGCTGCAAGGACGTGATCTCATGGCCACATTCTCAGTCTTCCGCGAGAGTATCGATGCTTGCGATCGAGCGTACTCGGCGTATACTGGCAAGTCATTTTTGGAAGAGACTGGACTGTTTGTCGCAGATCCCCCAACATTCTCTCCTCTTGCGGAGAGCTCCACTTGGCCAGCCGCTGTTATATCTGTCTCCATGACGTTCTTTCAGATTGCCATGCTCGACCTCCTGATATCTCTTGGAATCAAGCCAGACGCTGTCGTAGGACCCTCCATCGGAGTGACTGCCGCCATGTATGCTTCCAATGCCATGCCCCGCGAAGTAAGTGCTCAAAGATTCGAGGGATTACGATACTGATGTGACTTTCCGCCAAAGATGGCCGTAGAAATTGCAATAGCGCGAGGGCGTGCCCTTGCCATGGTTGACAGTACGGGAGGTGCCATGTTCGCAGTCTCTGGCTGCGACATCGATACCGTTCATGGCTATGCGGATGTTGTCTCTTCATTCACTCAGCTGGAGAAAGAGGCGAACAAGCTCTATATGGTTTCCCCTCTTAGCCCTACAACTACCGTTTTCTCTGGTTCGGAGGTCCTTATTGATCTGTTGGTGAAGTATATCGACACTGAAGTGGATGGAGTTGTTGCACGCAAGTTGCCCGTGAGTACGGGGGTGCATTCACCTTTGGTGAATTCTTGTGAAGATGCGTACCGCACCGAGCTGGCCAGGATCTTTTCCCGCTACGCAGGCCCATTCATCCCCTCCACTCTCGATATGTCCATGGTGACCGCCGAATTCCGATCTGGAGACTATACCGTTGACTACCTCTGGGACAATATGCAGCAGCCTATGCTGTTCTTGCCCGCCATTATGGGTCTCTTAGACAAGTTCGGAAAACGCACCACGTTCGTCGAGATATCACCCCACCCAATTAACTCTCAAGTAGGTCATCGATGGGATAGTCATTTGTCACCTGAGTCCTGACGTACCTGTTAGTGGATCAAGAAGGCAGGGGCCTTTGACTCATTGGCAACGGCCACGCGTCCACCCTCAGCACGACATCTAGTAGCTGGAACCAAACGTCATCGGGAGACTGAAGCCTTTCTACAGATGATAGGGCAACTGCTGCTCTACGGCGTCAATTCGGTCAGTCGACTTTCCTGGAGAACTGTTGCATCCTATTTTATCGTGATCCTCAGATCAACTTCTCAGTTCTAAACGGCTGTCCTTCGGAGCCGCTTGAAGGCATTGCATGCCCATTCTAGAATATGTTTGATCCATGTGACGCTGCAATTTGAGGCTAACGTGTAATGCAGTAACTACGTTGAGACCATCGTCGCCAAATGGTCATATCAAATGCACAGCTATGTGTTCCGCTTCCTCATGCTCCTCCTCTTGCTAAGTAGCAACTTTTGAATGCAACAATATGTACACGCTCAGCGACTCTTATGGCGAACCGTCTTACATGCAGATTTTACCACTTTGAGCCCTGGCTGCGATGTGCTGACCATGACCAATGGGACCAATTCATTGGGGGCCGGTCTATTTGACTTTCCAACTTGGCCACAGTAGGCAGAGTGATCGCTTGCTGCGTCTCACTGTAAACATAATTTTCCTGACATGACGCGCCCTGACATGGAGTGTCTTTGGTGGACGCATCCATGGCCCTATGAGCATCGTGGTTTCGCTCTGCTGTTCATTCAAATGTCGCTGATGACAATGTGCATCTTAGGAGAATCTCGTGGTGCCTTCACTCAAGTACATAATCTTAAGCGCAGCGGCTGTCTACGGACCGGAGGAGTTTTCATAACAAGAGGCGAGCCAGAGAGATGCGACCTTCCACTGCGATAAATGGATCGCTTAGCATAATGCATAGGACATAGTGCACAATGCAAGGTAGACCCATGAAGGCGGCCATCGAGACTACGGAGACAGCTGGAGACAGCTCACAAGGTACACTCGGGCCTGCTACCGATGACTCGACGGCAACTATCCTCTTCTGTGCTAGCAGTATCTGAGTCGGGGGCGCGGGCTTAT